AAAAGATAACCATTGGCTTGTAGCCAAATACCATTACATAAGACCCAGCCAACATATACCTAAATCATCAAGTTTATAGTTTCCTTGATGTTAACTTTACACAAAAGATAACCCTGTGTCATTCACAAAAGATGGCTACGGCTATATCATTCACAAAAGAATTGCTTGATGCCTCTAGGTCAAGCTGCACCATGCTCAGAGTCCATGTGGCCGCCACCACCAATTTTCTTGGTCTTGGCATTTGGCAACACCCTTCCTGCCCTTCACTTGACCATCCTTGATCTTCTGAACTGCTCTTCCTTTCCTAGCCATGACTTCCTTGCCTTTCTTTGTTGATGTAGTCATTGGACCTGGCCTTGCAGCAGGTTGGTTGGAGTCAATGAAGGAAGAAGTAGGCAAAGGATGGAGCTATAGGTTCATGTTGGATGCTTGAGATGGCTGTCATAGCACAATCAATTCAGTACTCATACAAATAGAGCAAATATATGAAGGTACACAAAAGAGAAAAACCTGTGAAAGGAATTAAGAGAGCATAGTTTCTTGTGTAATTTCTTCAGGTCCAAGGTCTTCAGCTTCATTCACTTGTGGTGTAGTGAGCTCGGGCTCCACCTCTACATCTGCCTGATCTAAGACTTCAATGACATATGGTGGTGGTGGACTGTTATTGCCTGGTGTAGGCTTGATGCCGGCTTTTTTCAATTCACGGGTCCTAGCATTGTGCTCAGTGGAGTTGCACCAACTGCAATGCATGACCACTCCATGTCTTGATAGCTTAGGTCCATTTCTCCCTTGTACTTCATGAGGTGCCTTCTTCCTTGCCTTTGGGGGCCGACCAACCTTCTTCTCATAATTAGGACAACCAACTTCTGGTCCATTTACTTTCTCCCACTTAGATGTATCTCTGCATGGCCAAATGTTACTTCCATATGCACTGGCAAATGATTCAACTATGTAGCAACTGGCAATAACAGATTTAGGGGGATCCTTTCATGCCTTAAATAGGCAATTCCATTGGAGCAAGGAATTCCAATAAGTTGCCATCTCCTGCACTCACATTCCTTGCTGCAAATGTCGACAATGTATTGACGGTCCCTTGACTGTACTTGGAAGACACCTTTCCCAGCAGGCAATGCGTAGCAAATGTTTGCAAACTCAACATTTTTGGCTACCTTCTTCCTTATTTTGGGACAGATGGTTCCAACAAAGTTGTCCATCTCTTTTTGTTTGTTATAGTGTCTAGTCATCAATTGGCCTTTGATTGTCTGCAACATGCTAAGTATTAGGAGTTCCCTAGCATCTAATATGTATCTGTTGAAGACCTCACAGCTATTGTTGAGCAGTACATCACACTTGGGGAATGTGCTAAAATAAGCCCTACACCATGTATTTGGTGCCATTTTGTCTAACCATTGAAATGCTTTCTCATCTAAATCCTTGAGCAGACTCATGTTTCTAGCAAACTGACTTTCACAACTAGATCTAGCACAAGCCCATAACTGATTTTTAAGGTTCTCACCTTTGAAATGCATCTGGAAGTTTTGGTACAAATGCCTGACACAAAATCTATGCTCAGCATCTGGAAATTCCTTGCACAGCTGGTATAAGTCCCTGCATGCATGAAATAAGTTAACAAGTTGTTGTCAGCAACTAAAAACCATTTGTACATGTTAGCAAAGTTAGCAGGATTTATACCTTTTGCTTATCTGTCATAATAGTCCATGGGTAAGTGTTGACTATTTTAGGTCTTGCTTCAGAGATTGTAAGAACCATGTCCATGTCTTCATTGATTCCACCTCAACAACTGCCATTGCTATAGGAAAAATGTAGTCATTTGGATCTATGCCTACTGTAGTTAAAAGCTGCCCCCAGACTTTGTCTTGATATGGCAACCATCTAGACAGATTAGTTGCCTGCAACCCAAGAGGAAACCTCTCTTACAAGCATCCAGTGACATGTACAACTTGCTAAATGATCCTTCATCCAGATTCAAGTAAAAAGTACTCCCAGGATTTAACCTTCTAAGTTCCTGTCCATAGTCCCATAGCTGGTTGTATTGCTTCAACTCATCACCATAAATGGCATTCAGTGCAATCCTTCTGGCCCTAGACAGTTTGTTTCTACATGGAGTAATGTTCTAATCCTTTTGCACTAGTTTTGCAAAACTGCTAAGTGACATCTTGGTATCTGCTCTGAAGATCTCTGTGTACTTGCTTGCCAGCCAAGTTGATGTTCAACTCTTGATATTCCACTCCCTCTGACAATTGTGTTGCCCAACATAAGTTTTCACAAGGAAACACTTCACTCTATTGTCAAAAGATGCATATAAGTTCCATGGGCAACCCTTTGCACAGTGAGCCTTCACTCTTCTCTGGTCATTCCTTGGCATCTTTATATCAACCCTGTTTTTAAGACTATACTCGGTAATTGCCTTCCTTAGAAGCTCAACTGATGCAAATGTCTGGCCTAACCTAAATGAAGGATTGCCCAAATCCTCTTCCCTAGAGGGCTTAAACCTCTTACTATTTGGCTCTTCACCATCTGAAACTGGCAACTTAATCCCTTCATCATATGTTAATAGCTCTTCATCATCAGATAGGTCTTCATGCTAGTACTTTTATCCTTTCAGCCTGCTGCCTGTTGCTTTCTTCCACTTGAACATTCTTATGCCCCTACTAGCTCCTTCATCCAATACATCCACATCAACATTGTCAACAAACAAGTCATCATCACTCTCAGCCACCTCATAATCACTATCAACAAAGTCTGCATCTTCTGCATCACTGCCCTCAGTGACATCTTCTGCTTCCACATTAGTCTCACTCCTATTTTGCAAATTATTGTAGAAGACATGCAATTTCTCTCTTGATGTGTTAGCCACTCCTACCTTAGGTAGCTCTACCTTAGGGTTCATCACTATGTCATCCCAGTTAACACCATTCAAGAGGCCATCATGATCAACATAAATAACCAAGTTCTTGACCCTATCAATCACAGAAACCATGATATTGGTGTCACTGTCAGTAGAAACAACTCTAAGACCATTTGCAACTTCTTTGCCAGGCAGCAGCCAATGGACCTTCTGTGAGGAAACACTTATCTCATAACCTAACTGACCTAGGCAGTCATCAATCCATAGAGGTGACCAGGTATCTGCGTCGCAGTCGTCAAACTAATCTAACTTTTCATTGATGTACATTCTCTGTTGCCCACTCCCAACGAAAAAAACATCGTGATGCACCTCCAAACTAAATAAATCCAAACCATCTCCTACATTAAAGAACAAGAATTCGTCTTTAGTGCAATCAACCACAATCTTCACACATTATTGATGGAAAAATCAACCGAACATCGCACTGATTTTGGGGAGCAAGCAAATTTCAACGCAAAACTCCAAACTCTAGCACAACCCAACTACTTAAGGCGCATGGTGAACAAATCGAAGACAAAACCCACTTCCCTACACTACATGGTGAACAAATCGAAGCCAAATCGAAGATAAATCGAAGACGACACTTACCATATGAAGGCGCCTCCTGTCCTTTGCTCCATAGGCTGGGTGCCATGTCCTATGGTGGCTGACTCCAAGGGCTGACGGCGGCGCAGCCGTCGAACCCCTAGTCCTCCGCGCAGGTACCTTCTTTCGACGTCACCATTCGCCGGCGAATGGTGCCTATCGCCCTCTACGTCGCCCCTTCTTCCGCCTTGGCGAGAACGAAGCGGGGAGAAGAGAAGGACGAGGAAATGAGGATTGGGAGGATCCTGGGGACTTCTTTGCAAAAGATGAGACGTGGGCCGTGCGTCCGTTGCCACCATGGCACGCCACGTAGGATGGAGTGGCGTCGTGTGCAAGATTTGGACCGAGATGAGATAGCTTTGAAAGTTCAGGGAGCTAGGCATGCACTCTCAGAGTCAGGGGACCTAGATGAGATCGTGGGGATAGTTTAGGGACCGCCAGTATAATTCTCTCTATTTTTTTCTTCGGACTTGTTTTTACCTCCTCATCTTCTCCAAGCATGAGCTTGCTCCATTTGGATTGATCACCTTTCGTCCAACCCTTAGCCTTGCTCACCATCTTGGTGTGGACCTTACCTAGCTTAATCAATCACCTAGTAAAAGGTTAGTCCACTAGTTTCTTAATTACTGAAACCAAACATGAGGCTTCCATTGGCCCATGGGGGTAGGGGTCAATCATTCCCTCAAGCAGACTTCATCGCCTCGCAGGTTTCCGCTGTTAGTCGCCGCCTCCATTTGGGTTGTCGCCATCCGAGTCGTCGTACCTTAGGGTTAGTGTTTACCAAGACAAGAGCCAGAGAAAACGAGATGAGAGAGTGGTGGGGGATACTAGGACGATACTCGTATGCCATGTATGCTTGCAACTAGGTCTAAGGCCTCCCCTGATGTAGCGTGACATATTTTAAAGAGGCATATAGCGTGACATATTTAAAACGGTGGGAGAATTATAAAGAAAAAAACTAATTTGGAATAGATGTGAATATCAATGACATTTTTCCTATCTAAGAAATTTGTAATGACACTAAATAACCTAATAATCATCATGTTCACTTTCTTGGTTTCACCAGAGCTTATCGGTAAAACCAACGATGTTTTTTCTTCATAATAAACCAAAGATCGTAGGACTTATCTACCGTAAACCAACCAACCAAATGAATCTACGAATAATAGAAGTATATACTAATTAATGTCCAACAGTGATTCTGCTCAAACTCAAATTTCAATTTCAAATCTGCAAACCCCGAATCGAAGGAGCAGCTAGATCCAAAACTGAGCCGAAAGGGCCATTTCTCAGTGCTCATTAAATGCTGTAGCCTGCTGGCTGCTGCTGTGCGGCAGATTCTCGAATAGAAAAAGAAATAAAAAAATCCCGCTTTCCCCACTCGTCCGTGCGCGACTGCGTGCCACTCGGCCCAATCCTCCGTCCCCTGCCTCCCTCCCGGCCGCACCCGAATCCACCCGCCAACCGTCCCGCCGCCGTCGCCGCGATGGACGCCGCGGAGGCGTCGGAGCTGCAGGCGCGGCTGGCCGCGGCCGTGTACGCGCTCAACCACGACGCGAGCCCCTCGGCGCGCCTCGCCGCCAACCAGTGGCTCCTCGCGCTGCAGCGGTCTCCGCAGGCGTGGGCGGTCGCTACCTCCCTCCTGGCCGCCCCGGACCCGCCCCCGCCCGCCGACCTCCTCTTCTTCGCCACGCAGATGCTCCGCCGGAAGATCCAGTCCCCCGGCCCCGCGCTCCCCGGGCTCGGCCTGGCGCCGCAGCTCCTCGACGCGCTGCTCCTGGCCGCGCGGCGGTTCTGCGCCGCCCCGGCCCCGCGCCAGCTGCTCACGCAGATCTGCCTGGCGCTCGCCGCGCTCGCGCTCCGCGCCGAGGGCGGCGTCGACGGCCTCTTCGCGCGGATGCCGCACCTGCCGCCCCCCGCCGTGCTGGAGCTGCTCACCGTGCTCCCCGAGGAGGCTGCGCAGGACCAGGGCGGCGACACGGGGGTCGACGCCGCCGCGCGGTGCCGGTTCACGCGCGAGCTGCTCGCGCACGCGCCCGCCGTGCTCGAGTTCCTCCACGGGCAATCCGAGAAGGCACCCACCGATGACGACGGGGTTCCCCTCCACGAGCGCAACCGCAGAATCCTTCGGTGCCTACTGAGCTGGGTAAGTAAGTACGCGCCCTGCACTTCACTTCGCTCCGCGCTCGGCTGCTTCCTTCTCTAGCTTGCTCGCTGACAAATACGACAATGCCGTAGGTCCGCGTGGGGTGCTTCTCGGAGACGCCGGCAGCCGCGCTTGCCACGCACCCACTTCTCACTTTTGCGTTCAACTCGCTGCAGGTGCGAACTTGCAGCCTCCGGTTCCTTATAAGGGCTGAAAAGTGTACTTCGAGGAATTAGTTGTGCACTCACGTGCTCACACGTTGTCTTGTTGCTGTGTGGCTGATGAAGGTGTCCTTCTCGTTTGAGGTGGCCATAGAGGTTATGACTGAGCTTGTCAGCCAGCACCAAGTAAGTACCTGTTTAGTTCCCAAAATTTTTTAAGATTCCCCGTCACATCGAATCTTTGGACCCATGCATGAAGCATTAAATATAAATAAAAAATAAAACTAATTACACAGTTTAGACGAAATTCACGAGACGAATCTTTTAAGCCTAATTAGACTATGATTGGACACTAATTGCCAAATAACAACGAAAGTGCTACAGTACCATTTTCAAAAAATTTCGCCAACTAAACAAGGCCTAAGTTATGTTCTTCTGAGCCGTGCTACTTTGTTCCTTACTGCAAGCCTGCATTGGTCCAGTTTGTTCCTTACTGCTAGCCTGCATTGGTCCAGTTAACTTGTCTAGTGACGTCTACTGTTTGATTGTGGTATTTACTACTAATTACTTTTTTTTTCCACCACGGACGAACTGAATTTCATTACTTAAAAGCAACGAAATTACAGAAGTTTGTCAATCCAATGCGCAAACACCTCCGAACTAAAGAACTGCCTAATTGAACTGAACACAAAGGGTTCAGCCAACCAGCGACCAAGACCCATCGAAGTCCACCACAGGATATACAGATGGTAACACAGACGACTATTAATTACTACTTGAATTGTATTTTGGTAGCTAACCATGGATTTAACTTTTAACCCTTGAATCAATTAATTTGACTAATTCATAGTCACTACTTTTAACCTACATTTTGCAATGTTCAGAGAACAGCTAGACAGTTAGGTTTATTTGCCTTATATATCTACATGATGTGATGATTAATACCAGGAACAGTTGCAGTGATGGTCCTGTTCTGTATCATCTTTCTAGAAGCAGATGGGCATACCCTGTTTCAAATATCTTTAACTCATACCAAATCAGTCACAGGTTCAGGTTACTAAATTGATTTAGGAGTATAAACAAACTGGTCTAGCTCAAATGCACATAAAACATTTACTGACACACTATGGAAACTGCAGTGAGAACCAAAGTACGGAGCTCATTCATCATTTTCTTGGTCAAACCTAGGCAGTCATAATTTCCTTCAGCACTACCCAATCCTCAGTGTCTTGTTTATCTTATGTTCTAGGCATCAAGCACAAAAATCCATCCTCACTAGTCACATCAAGAACAAACATGTGCAACCTTTTGAGTGGTTTTCCTCCCAATTTTCATCTGCATACATATTTTTATTTCATTTCTTTTTCACACACTGAGAAATTTCCTGTACACAAGCTCTGATCTTGGATATGCCAATTTATTGAAGTTCTATTTCTTTCACATGCATTGGCAATGCAATTTTTCTTCTTATATATGGTTGGTGGGATGAACTCCAGTGCTATGATATGAAGCAGGCATTTTTTTTCTTATTTGACTTTGTATTGAGTCCCCACAGTTCAGGAGTCATCTTGTTGAGTGTGCAATTATTGTTTTTTATTCCCGAAAAGGGATTCCCTGCTTTTATAGAAAGCATATAAGTTTGTTACATCTAGGTCTGCTGGGGATCCATCTCATTCAAGAGCTCAAACAATCCTAACAAAAGATTAAAGAACAAAGCCGGCTAAATCTAAGAGAAAGCCTAGCATTACAGCTGCTGCTTGCCTCAAAGAAGATCCTCCCTGTCACAACTTGTGTATTCTTCCTCCATGAACGACTTAACTGGGCTTGAGTAGGTTTCCAGACATCGGCGATCATCCTCCTTCAGTAGCTCACACCATTTTTCAAGGTTGCAAAGAACGCTAGGCGCTAGGCAGGCATTAAGGCACCGCCTAGTGCACAAAATGCTTAAGCGTTGAACACACTTAAAACATTATACATTATTCATCAGCATAATAATAAGTTAATAACAAAAGAATACTTGAGCCATTCACATGCAATTATGATGAGCCCATTATACATTCAAAAGGCCCATTTGCCTCCCCTCACGAACTGCACGATATGGGCTGCCATTTCTGGCCCATCCAACTTATATGCACCTCATGATGCCCTATTCCTAGCACTGTACTATACAACAAAGCAGCCGCCGCCGGTCATCTCTCTTGGTCTCTCCTAATCTCATCGCCATCCTTCCTCCACGCCCGTTGGGTGGCTGGGTGGGACTGTGCTGGCAGCAATGCAAGGAGGCACGAGGGGTGGCGAGGATCACATGATGAGGACTGAGGAGCTCGAGCTCGGTTCCCCTTCTCTGCCGCCGCACGGGGCAACGAATTCCTTCAGGTAATCCTAGCCACCAGGCCCTGGTTTCGTGCTCCCGCCTGTGCTCCTGACCTCCGCGCACTCCTTTCTCTGCACTCCCACCCATGCATTCCCTCTTGCCTTCGTCTGTCTGCCCGCACTCCTCACTCCAGGCCACCTACCCTTGCCAAACGTTTAATTCAGCGCCCAGGGCCTAAATGCCACGCTGAGGCTTCGATTCATGCTTAAGTGTGCCTAGGTGTACGATTAATAAAGCATTTTGGAACACTGCCATGTGTGCACAAAAATCCAAATTCTGTAAAGGACTTCAGCTCACAATTTTGGAAAGACATGTTCAATATTCATTTGGTTTCTGGTAGTCCAAACTCCAAATCGACCACACAACAATAGCAAAGAGTAGTTTATGACCATAGTTCTCTGCCCCTAGAGTTAGCGATGGAATCATGCAAATCCCTTGTGCTAACTGTGATTCTATCCCTCTCTAGTGTTTCTTTAAAACAGCACCACTTAAAGCTATAAAGGCTTAAAAAACATTGGAAAAACACATGGTTGACTGCTTCAGGGACCCACAGAAGATGCGGTTTTTGTTTTCTTTCCGTTCCTTCTTTTTCAGAGCGAACCCCATTTGCAATTTCTCATAAGGCTAACCACAAGAACACTTTCAGCTTAAGGGGCATTTTGTTTACCAAAGCCACTGCATTCTCTCAATGACTTCTATTTCCAACCCCCCCCCTAAAATTTTGGGCATCCTAACAACTAAACCGTTTGGGACTTAAAGGCTTTGTTGTTGTAACAACTGAACCAATTTTAACTTGTAATTCACTGGAAGTGGCTTGATGTGTGCTGCTGTCTGTTGGCAGGAATTACCTGAGGCCTTTCTGAGTAAGACACCTTATATAAGGGAAGTTCTTCTTCTACCAGCTTTAGCCAACCCAAGTGAGAAGATCATTGCTGGTCTTGCCTGTTTGATGTGTGAAGTTGGCCAGGCGGTAAGTTTTTTTTTTCACTATATATACTTTTCTTTCAGTCTAGTTACCATACATGTCAATTTTATGAGCAAAATCAGAAAACATATTAATAGCTTGTTGGAATGAGCTTTTGACTTTTCATACAGTTGAGTTAATTGAAATGTGATAACTAAGAATTGACTGTTTCGAGATAGTTGAGAAGATGACTATGTAGAACACACCAATGCAATGAGCTGTGCTTTGTTAACGTAAAATGGTTCTACAATCAGCAGAAGGGCAGAAAGTCTTGAGAGGAGTTCTAATATGAAATAGCGTATTACCCTTGAACACATTTTCAAAAATTGCTTTTCTTTTCTCATATGTTCAATCTGTTGAACATGACCTGATAGCTGTTCAACTTTCTTAGGCACCTGCTTTGGTTGCAGAAGGGGGTAGCCAAGCACTTGCTCTCACCGATGGACTTTTGAGGTCAATTTATTGCATTGTTTATGTGGTACTTTTCCTTGAGTTTTAATGTTAACTTTCAAGGTTTCCAAATAATTTTATAGCGCAGTTTATTTTTACCACATTATGTGAAGTGCTCTACCTCAACTGCAGATGTGTAGATTTTACCAGTGAAGATTGGGAAATTGCAGAGTCAACCTTTCAATTTTGGTAATGATGCTTAACTTTCACCTTTTCATGTATGAAAAGCTCCTTCACAATATCACGTAACAATTAGTCAATGTACTTTGGGAGCAAATCGCGCGCTCCTTTTCTTGGTTTGTATTGAGGTGTCATCAGTGTTTTGTCTGTGTGCACTAATTTAGGATGGGGTGGGTTGGTGACTGGTTAGCATCTCCGACATGATTGTAGGAATCCAGTAGGCCTATGTGTGGCACAAGGAATTGGTCTTCAACTGGTGTATCATGACAAACTTGCTTGGAAGGTGTATTTTTTACTAGTTTTTAATGGTCCACATTAATAAAATAGCTGTGTCTGACCTATGAAGTTAGAACACACCCTACTTCTAGACTTCCAGCTGTGTTCACCTGTTAAACGACTCATATTGTGATATTTCACTCAATGCAGTTCCATTGTGGTTAGCACCTGTATAATAATTACTAAGTCACCCATGCTACAATATTTAAGTTTGTAAATTGGAACATTTCCCATATTTCTATTCTCCTGAAGTGAAGTTTAGTTCTCATGGTATTAATGTGCATGTCTGGGATATAATTAATTACTTTCTATGTTGAAACTCTGCAGGTGCAGTTTGGCACATTTTATTCTTGGTATTGATGTGAAGACAGCCAAAAGAAATGTGGTACAAGAGTTGTTTGTGCCTGTGTTTTCTTCACTGCTGGATGCTCTTTTATTTCGTGCTCAGGTTTGTCTGTTCTACCTTTATGTACGATCATTATATGTGTATGGCTATAAGGCTATTCTCTTCCAAATGGCTTGACTCTCCTGTATATATGATTAAACCTAATACTAGTATTGTTTTATATTAATCTGCTCTCTATAAAGTTGCATATTTATCTTATTTGTCATAATCAAGTAATCAACTGAAGCTGATTATCTTACGAATTCAGCCTTTGGTTTGTAATCATACTTCATGTATTGTATTTCCTTTTAACTAAACTAGCAATTGTTTATCAAAAAAGGGAAAAAACTAGCAACTGTACATTATCCATTTTTTGGTATATCTAATTGTAGAACAGAGGTTTTGTAAACTTGCCTTCTTATGCCTTGACATTCTGCCCATTCATAGATCGACACTGATTCTGATGGAGCACCTTGTATACCTGAGGGACTAACACAGTTCAGGATGAATTTGGAGGAGCTCCTCGTCGATATTTGTTTGCTTCTAGGTGCCCCTGCATATATAAACAAGGTACGTATTGTTTGCTGAATGGTTGCTTATGATCCATCCCTATGCACACAATTATTACATGTTTATGGTTTAACAAATGTTCAAACATGCTTCTTAACCTTCTGTTACTTAGAACTCTTATTTGCGTTAGTATGGTGTAGGAACACTAAGTACAATTTGTTTATGGATCCAAGAAATGTCCATTGTTTACGAAAAGTGGCCAGTCCTTTCCATGATAGATTTTAGGAACAAGTGACCTAGCAGACGTAAGCTAATAAGGAAAAGATGCATAATTTATATGGTCAAGAATGAAGAGAGACTCAGTTGCTAAAGATTAATTGTTCTGAATCTTCTTGTGGTTCTCTGCAAGAAACTGACATCTTCATGTCAATTATGTATTTAATTTATGTTTGATTTGTTCTGTGTCGTGGCCTCATGGGCATGAAGACCTCTGTTGTTGATAATTGAGATTTATTTTTATTGAACATGCTGGAGAGCTGCTTATCTTTGATAAGTGATAATTGATATCATTTTAAAGCTTTCCTTTCGACAGATAGTTTTGACATTTTTCTCCTGTATTTTTAATAAGGTTATTCTACCTAAAACTATGTGTTCTACCTGTATTTTAATTTATATGCAGCTCTTTTCTGGTGGATGGGACTTCTCAAGCCAAACAATTCCTTGGAAAGAGGTAGAAGTTAGAATGTATGCACTCAGCATGGTAAGTGTATCGTACCACTTGGTAAAAGTTTCAAATTGTCATAAGATGTAAATAACTTGATCCTCATGGACTATATTAATTTTATTGCTGTTTACTTGCTTTTTCACTATATTCTATGACTACATCCTCCCAGATCTTTACATCCTTCGAATTATGTCCATATCTAAAAGAAACCTGTATGATATTATGTCTATCTCTAAAAGAAACCTATATCACTTAGGGCCTGTTTGGTAGAGCACCTCCTGCTCCTGATTTGTGGGAAGTGATTCTTCGAGAGAAGTGATTCTGTGGCTGAAAGTGATTGTCTATGACTCTAGGATAAATCCTATGTAAGAAGTGATTCTATTCAGGAAGTGAATCAGGAGAAACTACTTTTCTCAGTTCCTAGAGAATCACTTCTTAGAATCAATGTAGAATCACTTCTGTGCAATATACTGGCTGGAAGCTGCTTTGAGAGCTCTGCCAAACAGGCCGGGCCAAGCTGCACTTCAAACTTCTATGGGAACAGCTTGTTGCATTCAGAGGGTTCAATGGGGGCACATCAAATTGATTTAAATGGGCCATAAGTTTTGAATATTGATAAAATCACACCTATAATTGCTTTTGGAACCAATCAAGAGATTTATCCCTATCTTTTGATTGCATAGGGAATGACATCATGTGAGTTTTGCACACTACTATTTCGTTATAGTTATATTCTGCAAGTTATATATTCTTTTTTCATTTTTAGTTGCTTAGACATGTGCATATCACTGTATGTTTGGATACAACCATGCTAGGAAGAGTGTGTTTCATGTATATGCTGATGCATTGTTGAATTTCAGGTTGCTGACACGATTTTACAAGATGAAAGCTCCTTCGATTTTTCAATCATAATGCATTTTGTGAACATTTTGTCCAGCAGAACACCTGAACTGAATGGAAGTTTGTTTTTGGTGTGACTTCTTCCATATGTTTTCATTTTTTTATTATATATACACTCAGATTTCGTTTCTTTATCGTAGTTTATGAAGTTAATGCTGATTTCTTTTTCTGTTATGTCAAGGTATATAAATCGTTTGGTGATGTCATTGGTTCGTACTCAAAGTGGCTATCGTCTTCTCAAAGTAACATTAAGCCCTTACTGTAAGTATTTTGAATGTTTGTGAAGTTTAAGGATTCTATGTATTCACTATGACTGTTAAATTTCTTTTTTATCATTATGTACAGCCTATTTTGTGCGTCAGGAATTTCAAAATCTATATCATCAAATGCTTGCTCCTTAGCCTTGCGCAAACTTTGTGAGGATGCTCCTTCATTCATCCATGAACCTCAGAACCTTGAAATTCTTTTCTGGATTAGTGAGGTAACATTATGCCTTCTACTTTGCCAAATTAATTCTACCACGATATTCTAAATGATACTGTTCATAAGTAAAGATACAATATATTGAATACGGCTATACCCATATCAGATTATACTTCTGACATATCAACTTAGTACTGAGAAGGTTGCTGAAAATATTTTCATTGATTTTACTAGCATGTCTCCTTCCTCTTATTCTCTAAGAGGTGATCATAGGGATAGCCCTTCTATATTCAACAAGCTGATGCTTGGAGCATTTGTTACTTTGATTGTTAACAGAAGCTTTTGTGGGTCTTTAGGTTTTAGTTTATGCAGTGGATACGACATTGCTTACATGAATGACCATGGTATCATCACAACTAAATAAATATCATGAAGCTTGTTCATCTAGAAAGAAAGTTCGTTTCAGTTTTCATATGCTTGCTAATCGGACAAACTATTTGCATTAGTTTCTTCTTTGGCTACTGTTGTCATAAACTCATATATGCTCACTTAATGTTTTAGCATTGCATGCCATAAGTTAATTAAATCCCATTTATACACGCTTTAAAGGTATAACTTGATAAATCTTTCTTGTTTGGGCATTGTATGTAATGTAATATTTAAAATATAGTGTTCTTACAGGGCATGAATAAAGGGAACCTGCAGCTAGAGGATGAGGAAGAGATAATTAGTGCAATCACACATGCTTTAAGTTCTGTTAGTGAAAAAGAGTTGAAGAAAAGTTCACTGGCCAGGTTACTTTGTTCCAGTTACTCAGCAGTGGAAAAGATTGTATGTTCTCTTTCCGTAGTGTAGCCTTTCTTACAAAATCCACATGTGAACTGTTAATGAATGTGTCATCATCAAATTTTGGACTTTCCATTTTCCAGATTGACATAGACAGAGATCAATCGATAAGGCAAAATCCAGCTGCTTATACACAATCGTTGGATCTTGCTGTCCGTGGTCTTTACAGGTATAGTTTTTGTATTGTTTCATGCTCTAGTTTGATGTTCCTTTTCCTTCAAGTAATGCTGCACCAGTACTGGGTGATGTTGAGCAATCGATTGGACTTCCATGGCTTGTTGACATGTCAGAATCTTACAACTAGTCTGTTCCTTCTTTTTGCACAAGGCAGCATATCACTGGCCTGTTTTTACTTTTTGGCTATTCAATTATTCGTTAAGAAGCTGGAAGTTTGATATTATAATATAAGCGATTTATACCCTTCTACAGGATGAGTGCTTTGTTTCATCATTTGGCTACATCAGTCACATCTGGTCTGGTTGACGATGATATAATTATAGTTCTTATTGGAATACTTTGGCCACTTCTTGAAAAGCTTTTCCGATCATATCATATGGAGAATGTCAATTTATCTGCAGCTGTATGTCGTTCTCTTTCTTCTGTTATACATTCTTGCGGTAAGTTCAATGGATTTTTAAAATTAGAAAATTCAAGTTGCATAGCATATAAATCAATTTTCTTATATGCATTTGTATTTTACAGGACACCACTTTCATATTTTATTACCTAAAGTTATGGAGTGCTTATCTGCAAATTTCTTGCTGTTTCAAAGGCATGACTGCTTCTTGAGGACAGGCAAGGACCTTATACTTTTATGCACAACTAATTTTTTTTTGCTTCCAAAATTCAATTAAAAAAAGATTCTTCTCTGCACATCGTCATAACCAGGGTTAATAATTGATCATAATGTAAGTAAGAGTTTGGCTATTGTTGCTCTCTTAAACTAAAGCAAATATGTATGAGTTTATGTTGTATTCAACTCGATCCATATGTTTCAGTTAGAGCCTCTGGGGATACTTACCTGCCTTAGTGCCTTTTATTCAGCTATGTACTTTTGATATGCTTTTGAACTACCATGCCATGCTACTAGTCATTGTTTTCTGAACTAGCACATAGAATCATAACTATACATATCCATGGAAGATTTCTATATGTTATGCTAATAATTATCACTAAATTACTAGCATGGCATCTTATTTCAATAAATTTGTTGACTCTACTTGACCTCATTCAAATTTCAGCTGCCAATGTTATTGAGGAGTTTGGCCACAAAAGAAGAATATGGGGCTTTATGTGTTAGGACTTTTGAAACACTTAGCTCTGCATCTTCAATATCAGCTCTGAATTCTTCTTATACCTGTGATCAAGAACCTGACCTAGTTGAAGCATATACCTACTTTACATCTATGTTTATTCGCTGCTGTCCAAAGGTTCTTATTTTTCTCTTGTTTCGATATTAGTAATATGTTTTAGCTCAGTAGCTTGGCATGATATGTAATGCCATTTTAACACTACATCTCTTTGTTGATTGCATAAATAATCAGGAAGCTATTGTGGCATCTAGCTCCCTGCTTGAGTTATCATTTCAAAAGGCAGCTATATGCTCTACAGCAATGCACCGAGGAGCTGCACTTGCAGCAATGTCATATATGTCGTGTGAGTGCTATTTTATTCACTTTTATGTATTGTCCTCTGGCTTTAATTGCATGTTTTTGTGTTCCCCTCATTCTGTGATGGGTAAACTTCTTTGTACATCCTGAATAGATGGATTTGGAGTGAAAACTCATGTCAGCAAAATGTTAGCTCATAAAGTTTACTATTGGCCTGCTTTGCTTTACATCTATGAGATTTTTCTTTCCTTGGTAAGCTGGATGATACATAACAAAATACTTGCACTGTTCTTCTGAATGGCATTCTTTACTTGTTCATGTTTAATAGAGAGAGATAATATAATTACATACCTCTATTACTTTTGTCTCTTGCTATGTGATTAAATTCATTTGTCTTTGAAGCTGGCCATCTTTAGCGAGCCAACAGATTGAGCCTTCTTGTCTTTCACAATGTATCAACTAGTTAACATAGGTGCAGTTTAGGAAGATTTAGTTTTGTTCCTTCTCGACATTGTATAACACTGTAACACCATTTGAAAGAGAATAATTTCCTTAGTTTCCATTAAAACATCATTAAGAAATGAAAGCAATATAGAAGGGAGTTTATTTTTACTGCAAATGCATGGATGTATTTTCAGCTAACGAAGAGAGTTGGTATGGTAAAACCTTGGCATTACTTTATTAGGCTTGGCGATTTCTCTTTAGAACTATGACTGTTTAACATGATTATTAAAGGTCTTTCAAGTTGGTATAGCATAGGAATTTTCTGGTTCATGTTTCATTGTTTTTGGAGTGTGTTTAAAATCTCTGCACTCTGATCATTTATACTTCAAATTGGAGACAGCTGGCATATGGACACCTTGTTTGTTATAACCTGGCACTGTCATGCATCAGATCAATCTATTGCACTTAAATCCCTGTGGTTGTACTCAATCATTTCCAACTAAATAATTCCAAAGTTATATTCCACCTGCAGGTTTTCTTGAGGCTGTCCTTGCTGCTGTGCTAGAATCTCCTGAGTGCATCCCTAACGGGTCACCTGGTGTGGCCCTAATCCAAATCTTGGCACGCTGTGGTGAAGGTCTATTATCTAATGTGCTTTATGCTCTACTTGGTGTATCAGCCTTGTCAAGGGTGGGTGCAATTTGAAGAATAATTTTGTTGTATTTGCCTCTATTTGTTTGCGTATGTATATATTTTTGGATACTCTACAATTTGTTATGTGAGACATCTAAACTAGCCAGAACATTGTACTTGTGCATGTAAACCTTAATTAGCTCTGAACCTTATCTGGGTTTTCAAACTTTTCATCTGGCATAAGCTACTATATTAATGATTATGCTTGGATGAGTCGACTGTTTAAGTTCTTAGCATTACTGGTGATGATACTATTTCTGCTGTTACACAAAGTGCTTCTATTGATTTATTTGTTCTGCTCGGTCAAAAAATGTTGCGGAGTTTTCACATTCTTTCTCTAAACAGGTCCATAAATCTGCCACAATATTGCAACAACTGGCGGCATTGTGCAGTTTCTGTGAGGGAACGGCATGGAAGGCTGTTCTTAGTTGGAATTCTCTTTGTGGGTGGCTACAATCGACGGTATTCTTTTCACGACAGCTTTCACTGTGATTGTTCCAGTCCCAGCCGATATGCTCTTTCTGTATCTTTTTTTTCTTCTTTTGATAAAAAAAATTCTCTAACTTGAGTTTGCAACTATTGACATGAGTTAGTCTAATTCCGCCATTTAAATTTCACACATGTATGATTGGATTAGCACTGCTTTGAGGATCACATTCTTGGTAACTATCTGGCATAATTGATTTTGTTATTCTCTTATTTAACTTGAAACATGGATGTTGGATCAAAAACATGTTGAACTATTTTTCCTTCATTTGGTTACATGACAATCTGATGCCAGATCTGAATCCATTGATGCAGAGAGTGTGTTTAGTCATGTGCTCAATACGTTCACAGCTATTGCCTAATGTTGGCTGACATGTTTGATTAGGTGAAATCTTTGCCTTCCGAGTATCTAAAGCAAGGGGAAGCTGAAATTATAGTTCCATTGTGGCTCAAGGTGCTTCAGGATGCAGGCTCAGACTATCTTTACAGCAGGACTGGTGATAATATAAGAAGCCATCAAGGTTACATGCAAGGGAAGGGTGGTAGAACTCTTAAACGCATAATCAGAGATTTTGCAGAAAGCCACCGGAATGTTCCAATTCCCAGTCCTTCATGATATGGATGTATCATAAGTCTTACACTCTTACTGATTTGAGGATCCCCAGTCCTAACAGTAGCTTGGAGTCTGACTCTAGAGAGGGGGTCCTTGTGGAACTGATGTCCGTCTTTGCTGGCATGCTACATGTTGATCCTGTGGTTCCATCGGCAAGAGGAAGAGGCTATTTGCTTGTTCCGAACATCTTGTTCGGACTTGCAGAGTCTTCTTTGTATAGCAAGGTAGTCACACCATTGTTCTGCTGACTACTTGGAGTTGAATGTTGTGGAGGTACATGGGCCAAAGACTGGTGGTACTTTCCAAAGTTGGAAGTCGCATGTCATGGTTCGAGATCCAATGTTTTTGATGGAAACATGGATACATGATGAGACATACTGTGAAATTCGTTGTGCTGGTAAGCTATGAAGACAAGATGGGGGGAGATGAACACAGTTGTACATACCATTCTTTGGTGGTTAGGGCAGGCAATGTACAAAACATTCATATGCAGTGTTACTGCTCGAATTTTGAGTTAAACATGGGCAGTAATGCCGGGCATTTAATCAAACCTCTATCATGTCAGTTGAAACTTTGAAAAGTGTACATAATCAAATGTATTATCCAGAATTATGACTCGCTCTATTAATTACAAATGTACATAATACGTTATCTGATCCCCCCCCACCAAAAAAAAAAAACTAAAAATGGCATGTTTCTATTTTCAGGAGTGTTTTGTAACACCAACGGCCTCTGGAAATAGCATTTCTAGAAACCTTTAAACAATCAATTTCAAGGTCGTTCCATCTCTAGAGCCATTTCTAGTGACGGTTCTGATCCAACCATGTCTAGAAAGAAAAACCATTTTTGGAGTAATGTACGACGAAGCAAATAAAGCTTAAAAAGAACCTGTCAATCACTGATCATTCATCACACATGAAGTATATGACCAAGCTCCATCTCAAGTTAGTCCCACAACAACATATACAAGTATACATATTATAGTATTATATTTAGCAAGCATGATAGATGTACTCTAGTTTTGATAAGCGGTAATGCTACCATTAAGATGTCCGAAAGGTCGGACGTCTCGCTCCGCTTCACCCCCGCACACGGCGCTCGGCTTCGCTCCCACATGTGGTGCTCGACTGCCAGCCCTAACAGTTGCGGCGCGCGGCTGCCCTCTCCTGGTTTTGGCGTGCGGCTGCCTGCGAGTCGCGGCGCTCGGCTACCGGCCCTGCCAGACAGGGCGCGAGGCCGCTACCTCCCTGCCCGGCGCGCGGCCGCTGCTTCCCTGTCTTGTCGCGCAGCCACCGCCGAGCTGTTGCCTACAAGCACCGCTAGGCCGCTGCCTCAGGCGAACTTCACATGCCGACGAGCCTCCATTCTCCCAAACAGCAAGGAGATGTTTGCACTGAAAGTGCATGTTGCAAGTGTCTGTGTCAAGTGTTTTAGAGGTATGTTACAAGCGTTTTATACATATGTTGCAAAAGTAGATAGGGATGTTATGCATGTTGCAATGGTTGTATACGTATGTTGCAAAGCTCCTGTTCTCAATGTTTTATCTGTTTTTTTTTCGACGTATGTTGCAACTGTGTTTATCAGATGTTGCATATGTTTTCACACATATGATACAAGTGTTTTATCTGGATATTGTGTATGTTTACAATGGTTTCAAATGTTTTCATGTGTTTTTGTAAGTGTTTCAAACGCACGTTTTAAATATTTTATTTGTTTTCAGACATATGTTTCAATTCTTGTATCTGGATATTTCAAAACTAGATCGAGTGTTGCGTCTCCCTCTTCGCCTTTCTGCTGTCTCGCCTCGGTGTCAGGCGTGGGAAGGCAGAGACGGTCCCCACTGGAGTGGGCGGGCCCAGCAGGCGATGCTTGTGGGCAAGCGCAAACAGGCGAGACATGGGCGGGCAAGCGCGGGATGCGGGATGGGGGGCAGCGGCGCGGCGTCGGGCTAGGGTCCGAACGCTTGCGGGCGGGCGCAGCAGGCGAGGCGCGGGCGGGCCCATGTGCTTGCGGGCGGGCGCAGCTAGCGACACGTGGCAGGCAAGCGCAGGACGCGGGAAGGAGAGCAGCGGCGCAGCATCGGGATAGGGTCCGGACGTGCGGGCGCTACTCACGTCCTTTGATAAGCCTCGCCTGGTGTAGAGTATCGACCCGGCCTACATCTGTAAAGCACACATTAGCGGCCATATGTTTGCCGCAGAGGTCAGGCAACATTATCCACTCGAAACTTTGCAAGTAAGCATCCTCTCCATCACTGCAGATGCTTTTAGTTTGCGGTTACTTAATTAGCTTGGCTTAATGAAAATTATCCTGCCATAAGAACCTAGCTTTCTCTTTAACCTAGGCAGACGGAATCTGATGCGTGCCGTAAGCAAAAGATCACGTGTAGGGACTTCTTTGTCAGCTAGCGCTGGGTGTTCAGTCAACTCGAGGCTCCTGACCTACAGTGGTGCTCAACCTTTGCTGGCCTATAAATAACTGACATACGATATGAGTGTACTCCCCGCGTCCAGGAAAGAATGCAATTATGGGATCCGTGCCGGACAAAGTGATTTAAGTTTGACCGAGCTTATAGTAAATAATAGGGGAAATTGTCTGTTGGACATCCAAACTGATGGTCATTTGTTGGCGGACATCCACTTTGTAGCATTTAGCCAGAAGACACTATGGTTCATTGAAATTAGGCCACAGAACACCGCGGACCGGTTTCAGCCGGTTGAGGAGAGAGACAATTTCGTTTTGGACATCCGGAGACCCTGAGCCACTTGGGTCCATCTCCAACCTGGTCAGGTTGGACCCCATAAGAACCGTCCCCGACTCGGCGTCAACACCCCCCGGAGGCCGCCACCTCGACCATCTTCGTCACCTCCATGTCCCTCCACCCGCCCTGCCTCAGGACGTGGCCCAGCCGGTCAAGGTAGCTGTCAACCCAGTGCGGATTCCTGGGCCACTGGAGGACCGCGACGACGCGGTGGACGCCTCCGAGGAGGATGAGTCGTGGCGGCGGCGGTCGGACGCCGTGTCGCTCTAGAACTCGATCCTGCACGGCGCCTTGCCGCCGCAGACCGCGTCGAGGCTGCGGCGCGTGCACGGCGTGGCAGCATCGGCGGTGGCCTCGCCGGCGTGCTGCTGCTGCGATAGCGACGCCACCGACGACGGCAGTGCCTGCGGGTCCAGCGACTGGAAGCAGGCGTCGCGGGTGAAGAAGTGGAGGAGGTCGATGCCGCAATAGAGGACGCGGTCGTCGGTGACGAAGAACACCGGGTTCCCCCTGAGGCAGGGGCGGCAGGGCAGGAAGCAGCGGTTGAAGAGCGACACGAGCAGCGACGCGCGTCGGATGGCGGCGCGGGCCAGCCGCAGCGCGCGGTCAGGTCGGCGGGGCGTGTGCTCCAGCACGGGCCGCGTGGGCGCCGACGCACAGCTCCACTACGCCATGGGCAACTGCGGTGGGCGGCTCCAGTGCGGCGTGCTCGGCGGCGCGGCGCGGCGCATCGCTGGCGCAGGTGAACCTCCACCACGACAACGACAACAACGACCAGACCTCGTACAAGTGAGGAAGTTGGAGGTGGCGACGGCGCGGGCGAGGACGCCGTCTTCGGTCCTAGCCGGCTTCCCCACGTCCTTTCCCTCCTCTGCTGGATTGGCGCCGCCCGGAGCTCCCAATTGGATCCATCGGCGTAGATGAACTCCTCTGCCACAGGTGTATGCAACCGCGCGTCCCTCCTGTTTGTTATGGCGCCGTGCTGTGCTGACTACCTTGATGCGCCTCTGCCCCCTCCTTACGCAGACGTCCTTCGCGTCGCCCACATGTTGATGGCTGGCCTGCTCGTGGATGATCTTGGACGGGAGCGGCATGGTGGCTTGGCGTAGCTTGGGCGTGCGCGTAGGTGCGCTCCCTCCATGCGGCAAGCAGCAAGGAGATGTTGCGTGAAAGCGCATGTTGCAAGCATATGTTTCAATTGTTTCAGATGTTTCAGAGGTATGTTGCAAGTGTTTTGAATGGATGTTGCAAAAGTAGATCGGGATGTTGCATATGTTACAATGGCGCCTATACACGCATATTTCAAGCATATGTTCCAACCGTTTCAGCTGTTTCTTAGACGTATGTTGCAAGGGTTATATATCTGGATGTTGCATATCTTTTACGCATATGTCGTAGGTGTTTTATCTAGATAATGTGGTTGCAACGGCTTTCAAGTGTTTTCAGGCGTTTTGCATGTGTTTCAGATGTATGTTCAAGTGTTTCAGTTATTTCAGACGTATGTTGCAAGTGTTTCATTTGAATGTTGCAAAAGTAGATCTGGTGTTACACATGTTGCAATGGGACCCACATGTCGCTGCCGCCTGTTGCAGTTGCTGGGGCGCCATGCATGTGGTTCCCGTGTGAAGCAAGCGCAAGCGGTCCCCCGCATGCTCGATACGTAGCGGGGTGCATCATGCGCCCCCCACAAGCACGCGGGAAGTGGAGCTAAAGCGGACGGTTCCCGTGTGTGAACGAGCGGCGTGGGCAGGGCGACACGTCCACGCGACGCAGGCACCGGAAACGAAGGAGGTGCAGGAAACGGAGAGACGCGTGACGCAAACAGGCATGGACGTCCGGACGCGTGTGTCCGATCGGACGTCCGGACGCTAGCATCTCCCTTATAAGAATCACTAAATTGAATTCACACTACTACACGTACATGATGAGTAATTGTCTAAATAAAGTGCATCCAGTAAGGAATAAAAAAAATCATCACAATCACTAACTAGTTCTCGACAAAGTTACCTCTTCCCTTTGCTTTTCTCTTATGTAATTCCGCATGAACTCCAGCAGGAATCAGAGCCGCCGGCGATCATCATCTGCTGGAACCTGTCCCTATTCATACCACGCCACTCACTTCCGAGTTCCGCGTACGCATCCTCCAGGTCTGTGGCGACCCCTTCCACGGCCGAGGCAAGGTCGCCCAGCGTCTTGCCGGCCCGCTGGAGCAGGTGCTGGACAGCCCTGAGCTTGTGCTCCT